TGCTTACATTCGAAGAATTTTTACTCTGCCCATGATGGTTTTCGAAAGGAACGTGAGCATAGAAATCGACAAAAAAAAATTTAACAGACTATCCTGTGAATGATAAAAAAAGTAAACTCACCCGCTCCCTTTAAATAAGAAAATTAAACGCTAAAGCAGGCATTTGTTAAAACATTCCAAAGATTTTGTTTGATAGCAAATCAACTATATAATCGATATAATCCATATAGAAAAGTATGTAACCTATATTTCTATTGAATTTCGGATGAAATGTAAAACAGCAATTACCAAGCCGAAATGTCAATGATATATCTGAAAGTGAGAATAAGTATCTGCGCCACTGCCCCTTTTCACAATATGTGACAATATGTGATATTAATAACGTGCAACCTAGAGCCCAAAATGTGTTATCACAAAATTATTTTTCGCGATACCTTAAATTTTTTAAAAAAGGGATGATTATTCGACGTTTCTTTAAGACCTGAAAATATCAAAAGCCGATACTCGCGCTTCCTTAAAACATCTTTTTTTATCTTGATGAACTCACGGGTCGTAGTTAATGTTTAATTAAATTGTCTCTTTGAAGTTAATGTCTAATATAATTCCTAGGTGACTATCACCCTCAAAATATTTTGATTCGTATTTATATTTTTTATCCCTTGAAATTGAATCCCATATGAATAAATAAATAAAGTTAGTCTTTACTATGCATATCGTATCCCATATAGGCTCGAGTCCTAAAGTCAGACTAAAACCTTGACTCCTTCGTTAAATATTGATATTTCGGGCAACATTCACATCCCGATCAATCTCCGCCTCACGCGAATGTTTTGATTCACCGAGATCATTTTTACGAATCTACAATTCCCACAAGTCTTTGAAGTATACTCCTCGGTGCATTCAATGACTTTCAACCTCTGAACCTCGACTTATGATTGTAAGAGCATCTGAAACCTAAAATGCGCAGTCTTTTCGCTTGTTCTCCAAAACCATCCTCGAAGACTCGAACTTGGGTAAAAGAATGATCTCTTAATCTGACATAACCAACGGGCCAGCTGATGATGACACTGATCGATTAAATTTTTCTCAATCGGAATCTCTTTCTCTTGTTTATATTTCCTCAAAGCAAGATCTTTGTCGCTCTGTAATTGTCAAATTTCTCGGATTATTTATTAAAATTACCGTTACCCCACTCAATTAATTGACCGTCAGGGTCATAACCGGTCATAAACGCGTGAACACCTGGATCGAGCGAGATTATCTTCTCCCGAACATTATCTTGGTTACCGATTACATCCAAAAAAACGGACACAGTAAAAATATATATCTGGTGATCGTTCTGAGATGATAATACTTTTTAGAACACGTATTCCCCTTTTCATTCGAAAATTATTTCCATATAATTTCTTGTTTGTTTTGTATGCGGCCATCAATTGTCGAATCGCGTACGAACGTACTTCCCTAGGGGTCTCTTTACCTAGTGAAGTTTTTCAGTTGTAAAGCACTCATCGTTTAGGTAGTGCTTTCATGTCAGTGATTCCATCGTCCTGCACCATATTAAGAACCTTTCCATCCACTTTCTTAACTTTTTTCTTTCTTCGAGCGTTGGGTGTATTGGTATCTTTCGTGTTTTAATCATTTTGTCGTTTTCGGTTTCCAGTTGATCTGAGTCCATTCCATTGTGTCTTGCCAAAGATTGACAATAGGTTCTCGGAAAGCTCACCAAATTCGGTGTCATCCACATTGACGTCCGAACCGAGTATCACGATCTTTGTACTGTTCTTGCCAAGAATTCATTTGACAAGCTCGTACACAAATCTGCCGAACCGATCCTTCCGACCTTCTCGATATCTCCTTGGTACGATCGTTCCGAGATGAATGTGAAGCACTTGCATTTCCAGTTGAGACCTGACCCAATGTTTCCGATGACCGCTAATAATGCTACTAAATAAAACTGTCTCAAAGAATAGCTATTTCCTATTGATTATTTTTTGAACTTGTTAAGCTTAAAAAAAGTGTTATTCCTTATCAAAAAATAAATTTTTTCTTTGAACGGATGGTATGTTTGGACCCATTAACATCCGTGATCTCAACTTTGAGGAAAGCAAGCAAAAAAAGCGTTGCTTGTCTCGCTGCTAATGTAAGATATTTTTTAATGCTCGTTTTAAAAAGATGTATATATTATTCAAGTCTACATTCATAAAACACTTTAACTAAAATAATATCCACATTATCATTGAACTATTGTTAAATTAATATTTTTATACATAAATAAATAAATACACAGTATCATATAAATAATTTTAAATTTCAGATTAAATAAATAATTTATAAAATAAAATAAAAGTTGGATACATCTTAACTTATTTACTGAGTTTAAAATAATATAATGGTAAAATTATTATAACTGAAATTATATGTCAAAAAAAAATTTTTTTTTAAAAATGTTTGAATTAAAAAAAGATATAATAAATTAGTTATATCTTTATAAAAAACATTTTTTTTCAATTATAAGACTATTGTTTTTTGTTTATAAGTAAATAAACTATTTGAATTATACAAAACTTTAAAATATACTGTATATTCTTTCAAAATAAAAAATTAAAAGAAAACATGTATTGTGCAAATAAATAAATTATATTTTATTTATTTATTTACTAACTTAATCAATTCAATAATTCAATAATATTCTACAAGTCATTAAAAAAAAAGTTTAAAGTCAAAACTCATCTGATTATTAAACTTTATTATCTTTGTATATTGATTTGCCAATTTTCAATACATATTATATTTTTGTTACGTAATTAGATTAATATTTTAAAATTAATCAAATTGTAAAAAAATACATGTTATATGTTTATTAATAAGATTAAATTTCAAATTAATTAAATTATAAAAAAATAAAAATTTTAATTAATCTTTTTATCAACAAAAAATTAAATTACGTAATTTAATTATAAAACATTTAATTTAACTTGAATAAATTTATTATTAAAAATTAAAATTAATTTTAAAATATTTAAAAAAAATTTAAAACGTTAATACCAAATTAATTTATTTTAATATATTATTTTAAAATTTAAAAATATAAGTTAAATATAATAAGATTATTGATTACAAGTAATAAAAAACAAAATAAAATTGTTAAATCAAATAAATTTTATAAAGATCAAAAATAAAGTTTAAATAAAAATCTCAAGACAACTGTTATAATAATAAGTAATAAAAATTACTAATGTTATATTACATTAATAATATCTTTTATAATTATTTTATAATAAAGAGTCAAAAATAAATCTAATAATTTAAATAATTTAAATTAATAATAGAATTTTTTTAAAAAAATGTATTTTGTTAAATATATTAATAGATAAATATATTATTAACTAAAAATAGTATAACATATATTTATTAACTTTATAAATAAATAGTATGTGAATATATATATATAATGAATAAAATTTATTTATATTATAATATTATATAAATTATTTTATTATTATTATTATTATTATTTGAAATTAATAAATTAAGTTAATTATTTTATTTAAAAATTATCAGATTTAAAATTATTCATTACAATTATTTTAATTTAGATTTTACAAAAATAAAAAATGTATAAATATTCTTAAATTTGTAAATTTAAAATATCTTATTAAAATTGGAAATTCGTAAAAAGTATAGTGTCATTTAAATTAAAACCTTAATCAGGAATTTCCTGCGTAACATAAAAGATCTTCGACAGGTCATATGTCCTGTATCTTAACATTACAGTGTACGTGCTTAGAAGAAATTTGGATCAAACTCGAAAAGGAGGGCATTAGCTAGAGTCATCACGAATAATCGGGCATAAATGTCGAGGTGGTTTCATATGCATTGACATTGTTGGTCAAACCTTGACTTCACTTGTCGATTATTAACATATTGAGTTGTGACCGGTAGGATTTGAGATTGAAACTTCCGAAAAGCAGTGATGGCAACTGAACAGTCCTTAAGTATAAATCGTCCTGGCTCAGCTTCCTCGCCGTTGTTTGAGCTTGTCAATATTCCAAATCGACTCGTGCTGGAAAAAGTTTATTTAAATGGGCTGCATGCTTTAAAGCGATTTGAAATTCGAAATGTGTCGCAAAGTACCATTTTAGTTAAATTGCGTTCAAACCTGGGTTCTCAGGTTGCATTTCAACTCACAAATGAAAATCTTCCAGAATTTGAGCCTCAGGAGTCGCGTTTGCCGGTTATAAAGGAAGTCAATGAGTCATTAGCTTCAAAACCATATTATGCGTTAAACCCTACTTCGGAAAATAATTCGAGTGTGTCTCTGAATAATATATCCGAAAATCCTTTAAACGATATTACAACAAACACCGTAGCAGCTGCAGCAGCGGGAGCATTTGGGGACGTTAATGGATATCAATTCAATCATCTCTTTAATTATGTGAATCATATAGATGAGGTAGAGATTGCCCCGGGGTGTTCCCAAAAAATCATTTTGGCCTTTTTACCTGATCCTCGTAATAAAATTAGAAGATCCGATGCGAACACTGCTGTTACCCCCTCTTCCACTAGTGATCTGAGTGTCACGCCTTCTGCTTCAGTGGATACGGATGGAGTTGATGATGCTAGAGGAAACGCAAACTTATTTACACAATCCTCTGAAGATGAAACCCATGATTTTTTCGAGGTCAACGGCTTACTGTTCTTTTTTGCTTATATAGTTGACAAGCAACAAAATAGTGGATTAATCGAGAAGTCCATTAGAGACCGCGAATCATCGGATTACTCCGACAATGTTGATACTAATGGAAATAATTCAGGTATTGTTTTTTCTCAGTAACTCTGTTTAATATCATTTTTATAAACATTATTTTTTATTGTATATTAATAATTGTGGTCACCTATCATTTACAGTAATCAAATCATATAAACCAGATATTGAAATTACATCCTCTCGAGAAATAGAGTCAGTTAACACTTCAAAGGCGGATCATCAAATAACCATTAAATTTCGTTCCACGGTTTCTCGATCGGTGTTATGGTCTGATGTTGGAGAGACTGGTATAAATTTTGACGATTGTGTGATAGGTGGCATTTATTTCAAAGATTTTACGATATGGAATCGCTCAGAAATTGAACTGTATTGGCTTCTTAACACAGTAAACTTGTCTTATCCTGAGCATGAAGGGTGGATTAAATTTACTGATTGTGACACTGGAGAGTTGTTAGACAACAAACCGATACCAAGTTATTCACACAGACGAATTAGAGTGACTTTTCGTCCTAAGGAAGTTGGTGAATTCAATCATGATCTACAACTAGAAAATGCTAATGATTCAGAGAATGTTCTGCAAACTAGAATTCATGCAGCTGTAAGATCTGTGCTAAGAGAAGAGTTATTAGTCATTAGTAGTGGAAATGCTTTAGATTTCGGAGATTGTTGTGCTGGAGTTTGGAGTAAACAGCAATTGGTTTTGAAAAACGTTAGCGAAGTACCTTTAGAAATACATTTTACAGCAGAAAATGCAGAAATCCTGTTTCATTTGAACACGGATTACTTGAGAAATATGAAAAAATTAAAGAGTCCTACCGAAGATACGGAAGATCTAGCTTTGTTGCAGCATCATTTTCGAGACATCACAAATGTTACTAATAGCACGCCCACAACGAATAATATCATGAGTAATGTGAATTCTTGTCCTATTAGTGAAAATAGCTCCAGAGCGATTTCGCCAAGTCCACAAAACCACGAAATTGATGGGTTAATTTCACCCGCAGAAAATGCGAGTGAATCTCCATCAGAAAACGCATCTAGATCGACTAGCAGGCATCGCACAAATAATATCGAAGATTTAGATATCGATGGATTTTCTGAAGAAAACACGTTAGGAAATGACTTTTTAATTAAAAGTCCATCAGAAAATCCTGAAATTGGTTTCAAAGCTGATAAAATCGCTCGAATAGATGAACTCATTCTTGGCCCTGGCAAAGAACGGACAGTCCAAGTGTCGTATCGTCCAGAGAAGGATTCTTCAGCTAATAATTTCAAGGCTGGAAGACTCATTCGTAGGACATTTCGCATAATTGTCCAATACGCTCCTGTCAATTCGGGTCAAGTTAGTTTACGTTCTGATATCCATGAACGCAAAATTATTCAATGTAAAGCTCGAAGTTGCACACCCTTTATCGATGTGAATCCCAAGGAAGTGAACTTTGGAGACACAGACGTTGGAACTCACAAATCATTGCCTATAACTATTTCAAATTTGTCAGAATTAACTGCTCGCGTAGAGCTTAAGTTTGTTTCTAAGGTGCTTTATTGCATGAATGATAAAGTCATCATCCCACCAAAGATGTCGACTGAAGTCAAGCTCACCATGTATCCTAGAAAAGTAAACGCTGATTATCGAAAACAGATAACCGTTGTCAATTTGCAAAATCGAGACGATGATCAAATTATTGAGGTTCGAAGTACAAATATAGACAAAAATCGGGTGACCTTTCATTCTTTATTTTACCGTATATTAACGTCGACCGGTAGCAATTTCATTAATTTTGGAACAACGGTTCTCAATTCGCCTAGCATAAGAACCTTTACAATAGATAACATCAGTATAAAAAAATTAGTTCTGGAACTCTCCTCATCTTCACCAGAAGAGATTATCATGTATCAAAAACGACCAATAGATGATTGTACATCAAACTCGAGTGATGTCTCCACTGCTTCTCTCTCTAACAATGAAACTACTTCGTCTGGCAGTAATATAGAAAGTGATGCTAATAGCTCTAAAATAGAAAGAAGAGAAATGCTTCTAGAATCAATTGGGGACCGCAGAATGCCAAAAAATCATTCGAACATTGATACAGTTAGTACAAATTTATCCGTCTCAAATACTATATTGATGGCAGGGGAAATTCATTCAAGTATATCTAATAAGAGATACAACGCCGGTATATTTTTTGACAGTTCATTGTCGGATTTGTCACCTTCTAGTGCAGCTTACCTCGACTTAGCTGGATCGTCAAATATTGACCCCAGACGTTCTCCACGAAGAAGACCAACAAAATTGCAAATAGGTAAAACGCCGGGAGTGAACCCAGTTATTGAAAGAATAAAAGAAGGTTCAATCACAGGAACCAATGCTTCGACTGGTTCAATTAGTTCTACCACAAAAAGTGGATTTAATGGCGTTCTAACGAATAAAACGAATAATGAATCAGTTGAAAATGTTTCATTAGGGAGTTACTTGAAAGGTGAAGACTTGTCGAAAATTTCTGAAATCTCCCTTGAATCCATTATTGAAATGCTTGAATCTAATAATAGCCCATTACCACTATTATTTCCAAAGCCTTCTGCTGAGGAAACATATGTGCGAAATCAGATGAGGCTTTTGCGAGAATTGAATAATCGTATAAGAGATCATCAGATTGTACCCGTTAAATTTGTAGAAATACCACCTTCGAAAGAATGCCAGATCATTGTAATATTTACTCCAAAACAGAAGCTTCATCCTAACGTTCAAGGATTACCAAAAAAATTTGATACACGTGTAAATATCCGTTTAATGGAATTTGATCGTGAAATGCAACAACCTCAGTTTGAAGCTTTGATTCAAGGTGATCAAAGTCAAATTCCGGTCAGAGAACTTATGGTTAATGCTACGTTATGTAGGTCAATCATGGATTTAGGTCAAAAGAACATCAATTTTGGATCAATGGAGAAAAATGAGCGTAAAAACACAACCATACTAATTCAAAACCGTAGCGAAGTACCTCTTTTATATTACATCCGTAAGTCGGGTTCAATAGCATCTGGTGACATTGTATTTGGAGTTGGTCGTCTGGGAGTGATACGTGGATATAATAAAAAAGAAATAGAATTCTCTTTTGATCCTAGTCTTTCGGGACCATTTCACGAGAGGATTGAGATAGAAAATATTCGCGATCGTGAGAATAACCAAGTGCTTTCTGTAAAAGCAAACATACGAAAAAAACACACCTTCACCATTCAAAACTTAAGTATGAACTTTGGCGCATGTCTTATCAATGAAACTTCAAAAGTTCAGCATATAACTATTATTAATACAAATAAGCAATCTCGTATAATTGAGGTTCGCGTTGACCCTCAAGATCTAAAGTATATTGGTTGCGTTGGGGAGCTGAACTTTGTATTACAAGAAGAATTAGATGGTTCTTACAATAATGGAATTTTAAGTAAAGAGACAGAGGAAGAAATTGAAAACTTGGAACAAAAGGTTAAAATTGCTAAACGTAAAGGACGTGATGAAAAAGTCAAAAAGATTGAAAAGAAATTGGCGAAATTGAGACGAGGCGAACCGGTCAAAAATGATTCAGAGACTGAAAACGAATCCATAGATGAAATAGCTCTTGGTACTATTAATGAGATTACGCCAAGAGAAGAAAAGACTGATCCCGGAGATACAGTTAAATCACCTGTCGAAGAAACTTTTATCGGTGGAACGGGGTTTGATCGTTCTGGTGAAAGCAGCACAATACCCAGTCGACCGTTATCGCGTGCCGATAAGCCTGCGGATCAGCATATTAAACGCACACCACCCAACGTTAAATATCGAAAGACTCAATCGTCAATAATTTTTCCCTTGGAACCGCGAACAACAAAAACAATATCTGTGTACTTTAAGGCCGTTAGAGGCATCACAGAAGAAATATCGGATCCAAAGCCTCTTCAGGAAATAATCACCAGTCAGGTATATGTGCATGAGCACAAAAATCAAGACATTGTCAAGACAGTCATATTTCGGGCTATAGTCTATTATGATTATCTTGGTTTTTTGCAAGCGCTGAGTGAAGAAACATGCAACAGCGTAGAGAATCAAACGGAATCAAGTATTGCCAGTCCGGTTCCTGAACTCTCAAACCTAACCACCGAAATTGTTGAACAAATCGCAAAAGATTCATCGTCTATATTGCGCAAACTTATCAATTATCCTTCATCTCAGCTATACGATTCAACAACTTCAACTTTAATGTCATATTCACCAGAAACAGAATTATCACAATATGATTTTACAAGTTCGGATGTACCGTCTCATGATGAATCATCCGAGAATTTGGTATTAGAACCAACAGACCTTGATATTGGAAGGCTCGAAGTTAATCAAAGGCATAATTATTATTTCAAGTTAACAAACCGTGGAGACGTTCCTCTGTGTTATAAAATAATAATTCCAGAAAATGAAAGTACTTTTTTCCAATTTACCCAACTTCTTGATACATTGGACCCTCATGAAACACGTCGTTTAGATTTTTCTCTGATCGCAAATGAAATAGGACGCCAGTCGCATTCGATAATCATCCACAATTGTGAGACAAAATCTGAATTCAATTTTACGCTTCATGGGTACATTCATTATTCTCATTATCTGCGGTTTCCCTCACTTGGCGATGATGGACAATCCGAGTTGAATTTGGGGTACTGCTATGTTGACCCAGGCAGAAAATATTCTCAGGTCACTCCTCTGTTGGTGGAAAATATCACTGATGATGATGTTTACATAACTTGCCAAAGTAACCTTTCTTTGCAAGTTTCGGTGTTCTTGGATGAGAGCGGGGAAAAAGGACA